ATATATAAATGTTTACAAAAGATGACAGTATGGTGATGTAATCGTATGAAAGACACCGTAAACAGGAAAACAAATGTGTAAATGCTGACTCAGCATTCCCATTATTAAACAGTCGATTCCTCTGTCGTGTGATCATTTACTGCTGAGTTCCTGTAAAATGATCCAGGGTTCCCTGTTCACAGAAATACTCCGTACTACAGTCTGTAATATCTATTTGCATTTATTTGTGAAGGTTCTAGTAGCTGGTTTGATGGTCAGAGGAGTTATTGGGACTATGTCCGGCTGGCCTGTGCAAAAGTTCCCAACAGCTGCATCAGCAGCATCGAGAGCATGGAAAACATCAGCACCTCGAAAGCAAAGGCAAGCAACGCAGCTGTTTACATCATCTGTAAACATATTGACAATAATTTTTTTTTTTTTGGTATAGTGAGTTAATATTTGTGGTGTTTTCTTCAGGGTCAAGCCTGGATGAGAGTAGCCCTGATGGAGAAGAGGCTGTCTGAGTACATCGCCACTGCTCTGAGGGACAGCAGGACAACCAGGTCAGGAAAACCCCGTCCCACCCGTCCAGTCAACAGTAAGACTCAGTATTAACTGGAAGTGTTTCCCTCCTATCTTCAGGAGGTTCTACGCAGAAGGAGCCATCATGTTAAGAGAGGAGGCCACGGTGCTAACAGGGATGCTTTTAGGACTTGGAGCCATAGACTTTAGGTGGGGAKTGTTGACCTCTTCTACAATGATTGGTTAATATTTTAAAAGTGGATTTTATGGACTTGTTTTTACTCGGTTTATAGTTTCTGCCTGAAAGGGGAGGCCCTGAATGGGAAGTCTTCAGCAGTGATCGACTACACTCCTTACTTGAAATTTACACAAAGGTACTTGGTCGGACAGTTACGGTGTTCTTTTTCTTTTGGAAGCCAAGAAGATAACGTGGCTGTGTTTTGACGCAGCTACGATTACCTGAGCGATGATGACGATCGGCGGAGCGTCGACAGCAGCACGAGCGACGACAGCATCCCCGAGCACCCTTACGTCCCGCTGGTGACCGACGAGGAGAGCTGGAGCACGAAGTGTCGCAAGATGGAGCAGAGGTTCAAGATCGTCAACGCTCAGAAGGTCTCCACACATGTTCGAAGCCCAGGACAGGTTTATTTAGGAAAAGCAGGAAAAACACAAATAAGTGTTTGTTTGTCGTCAGGGTTACCTGGAAGAGCTCGTGCGCCTGAGGGAATCCCAGCTGAAGAACGTCGAGACGGAGAACAAAAAGCTGAAAGCCCGGCTGGAGGAGGCSCAGAATCAGAGCCAGCAGGAAAAGTCTGAGCTGGAAGCTGTCATCCTGGAGCTCCAGGAGCAGATGTGAGTGCTTTAGATCAGGTACATGTTTCTCAGCGTGGAACAACAAAACCTTATTCTGTGCAGATCGTATGCGATTATCAGTAGTTTTCTTTGTTTGCAGATGAATCATGTTGGTATTTGCGGCTGTGCTAATTAAATTAAAAGGAGAAATATTGATTCACAATTCATTTGCATCAGGACAAGTTTGATTCCGTGTGATTCCAGCCATCTGGCCAAAAACATCTCGATCCCCCTCATCAACCAGTGGTCGACAGTTGAGCCGTACGTCAGCCAAGAGAACATGAAGCTGTTCCGCAGGTTTGACTCTCTGTCTCCTGAAACAAGAATTATTTATTATCATTTTATAGAATCAAAAATCCCTTTTGTGCTTTGGTTTCTATCTAACTTTCTGGATACCGTCTTGAATCAGTTGTAGGTGATCAGTCAAAATGACATTTCTGTGGTTCATAAGATATTTTGCAAACAGACTCTGCCTTTCTCTTTAGCAACAAGTAAGAAGAAAAAGTGTGTGACTGTTTGTGGTCAGCCTGTTTTAGTCTCCAGGGTGCTTATTTCTACTCAAACGACAGCTGCTGCTCTGCAAGTTGGATGAAATTTAATTTCCATGTGAAATTATGTGAAGCTGTCTTGAAACTGAAGCAGAGAAAAAAAAACTCATCAAAGTTTATTTATTTAAAAAATAATACTAAAATATAAGAAATGCAGTATCAGGAAGTTCAGTTGTGAGCCCTCTTTGTGATTTTAGGGGATGTTTTTAATTGAAAATTGCAGAAACGGTCGATGAGTGGAGCTGTTAATTATTTTTCCAGGCTATTTTCCAGGCCTGCGGACACTCCTGCTGTTTATCTTCCTCACTTGTCCCCTTGTTGACCTGCAGGAGGAGTTTCCCGAGCACAGAGCTGCTGTCAGTGGAAGATTCAGGCTCCCGAAGGAAACAGAACGGGGGTGCCTGGTGCACAGGTGACACTTCAGATATATAGCAAAAAAAAAAAAAAAAAGACTGATAGATAAAACTTTAATGATTTGTATGGGATGCTGTTTGTAAAGTTACACAGTCAAAAATTACCACCAATATTTTTGTTTTATTTAGCCTTTTATAAGAAAAAAAGAACAGATTTATTTTTCAAAGTCAGTTTTTCACCATATGATTCATACATTTATAAATGTCATAGTTTATAAACTAAATATTTAACTTACAAATTAAATATTTAGTTAACAAGCTAAATATTTAACTTGTGACTTAAATATTTAGTTGTGAGCTAAATGTTTAGCTTGCAACTTAAATATTTAGCTAGCAACTTAAAGCAACTTAAATATTTAGCTTGCAAGTTAAATATTTAGGTGGCCACCTAAATATTTAAGTTAAATATTTAGGTGGCTAGCTAAATATTTAAGTTGCAACCTAAATATTTAGCTCAAAACTAAATATTTAAGTCACAAGTTAAATATTTAGCATGTTAACTAAATATTTAATTTGTAAGTTAAATATTTAGTTTATAAACTATGACATTTATAAATGTATGAATCATATGGTGAAAAACTGAATTTGAAAAATAAATCTGTTCTTTTTTTCTTATAAAAGGTTAAATAAAACAAAAATATTCGTGGTAATTTTGACTGTGTAACTTTACAAACGACACCCCATAGATTTGTTCTCCTTTCACACCTTCCACAGAAAAGGACTACACCCCCTCCATGGTGGGACTGTGTGGGTCGATATCCTCTCTCCCGAGCTGCAAATCTCTGGCTAGTCTCAAATCCAGTGAGTGCCTGGTGAACATCAGCACAGAAAACAGCCCTGCACTGTCTCCCAGCTAGGAGGCGCCAAAGAAACACTGCCAACAGAGACAATTCCAAAACAAAGACAAAACGACTGCTCYTCATATGCAGAGACGTGCACTATCTCAACATACATCTTCATAAAAGCAGCCCTCCGTCTTGAAACGTATAGCAACRATGCAAGTTTATCTGCTGTACTGCCTCATTTGTTGTGTTTCAGTCTATTTGTACATCACAAGGCTTCATTTTGTGCTGATAAGTTCCTGTAATACCGACTGTCCTCTCTGTGTCYCTGTCCTCTGTGTCTGTGTCCTCTCAGTCTGAACTGTTGCTACAAAAGTTTTACCTTAGAAAACTACACTATTCTTAGAGGGGAAAAAAACCAAGATGGGGCTATTTTATGGAGAGCAAACTGATCCTAAAAGACGAGTATTTAAAACTTAAACATTTTTGTTTTTAGGATATACAACAATTTAGGCTTAATTCAGTTATTTGAAAGCAGTAGATCTTTTGAAGTTGGGTTATGTGGAGAAGTTATGGACACTTATCTTACCTGTTGCAGATAGTTTGAATGACAGTTTATGATTATGGTTAGGTGAATTCACTTGTGTGCGGTTAATGTCTACTTTATAAACCTTTACACAGAAACAAGTCACTTTGCTAATAATCCCGTGCAAACTACCCGTTAGGTTGTCACTCCAGTTCTAATGAAAGGCCTAGCATTCCTTGAGGGAATGCATATCACCTACCACCTTTCATGCCAGAGTTTTAAACTAAAATCAGCTTATATTGTGAAAGGATGGAGTTGTCATCAGTTTGGTCAAACTACTAAAATAACATGTAAGGCTACGTTCACACTGCAAGCAAATGTGACCCATGTCGGATTTTTTTCCTGACAGTCTGAACGTGATAAATCTGTTTTTTTTTTTTTTAATCCCACCTATGCCTTTTCAGTATGCTTTCAAAGTGACAGTCTGAATGCTTGTGTCACGTTTCATTCAGCTTTTACTTCAGTGAGGAGGGGAGTCTACAGAAACATTTGACAGTAACGTCCATTTCGGACCACTAAAGTTACTGGATCGATACTTTACTTCCAGCACATCCCTCCTGTTCTATTAGATTTTGCACAGGCGCAGCCAGCCAGATTCAAACGTTAACGGTGAACTAAACAAGCATGTCAGGTCATTATTTAATCAGCTCTGAATTGCGCAACAACTTCAAAATCGATGTGCTAGCATGTAGCATCCATATTCTGTAAACGGTGAGCTGAATGTGACGTTATGCCATGTTCTGCACATGCGGGTTGCATCAGTGGTGTGGAGAGTTCACACTGGAGTCTGATGGAGGTCAAAGTTAAAATATAATGTGAACRTCCACGCAAAAACACTGGACTTTTACAGGAAATCAGAATAGGGCATTAAGACCTGCAGTGTGACCGTAGCTTTTGTGTGCATTGTGATCGACTCTCAGCTACTACCACAACAGTTATTAGTTGTTCTTAAACTTTACTCAGTACCCCACTTCATAAGATCTGAACTGTTGTTATTAGAAGATTTTCAGATGTGTCCGTAGAGTCCTGCATTAGAAGCAGATGCATCATTCATGCAGGGTGAATGTTTTTTCTCTGTAGAACATGTGTTATATCTGTTTGTTTCTCATTTTTATTTATTTCATGACATTCTTGTATCATGTAAAATCTAATAAGTTCTTGAAGAGTGGAAAACCTTGTGTTATTCAAAACTGCAATAAACAGCCTTTTTTGAAACACTGATATGCACAATGTGTATGTTGTGGTCCAGGCTGACTAAAGGCACAGCAGTGTCAATCAGTTAGTGACAAATCTTCAGAACTGGTGGACAAACTGCAGTGAAAAGATGTTTAAATAATCTTAAGTTTCCTTGAAGGAGTGCATCACTTTTAATGCCAGATTTTTATTCAAAGATTGTTTTTTTTAACAGCAAAGTTGTTTCAATTTCAAGCACTTAAAAAACTGTACACTTCCACCCCTTTTGAGCCTCAGTCACTTTGTTTTCACGTCTTCCCTTTGTACCCCAACTTTGTGACGTACAGCGGGAAAAATAAGTATTGAACACGTCACCATTTTTCTCAATAAATATATTACTAGAGGTGCTAATG